TTTTGGATGTATGATAAATTGATATTCATCATAACAGGACGTGGAAAAAATTCTGAATTGAGAAAACCTGATCATGAATCTGCGATTGAGGTCTATAAAAATAACAAGTTTCCATCGTTCAAGTTTGAACCCCTTGATTGGGTGAAAGTATTGAGAAGGAATATTCTCAGATATATTTATGAACACAAAAAATGGATATATACAGGGTGGGCCACCAGTAACGCCTCGGTCTCTAGAAGGCTAACCACTTATCTTCTTGGAATTCTTCCTCTCTAGGAAGTTGCATGTCAACATAGGCTACCATTTGAAATTATTTCGAAACATACAGGATGTCCCCAAAAATCACAAAACACTGAAGTTGAACTTTTTTCAAGCGAACACCCTATATATTATTTCATTTTGAGATTCTCCCTGGTGAGCTGATTTCAACAATCCATCATACTTGGGGTCTAGCAGTTATAATTACTGAGATATAGGGTGTGAGAAATCGAGATTTTCCAAGTTCAAGAATTTTTTGTGTCGAAACTATTCATAATTGGTCAAAACGGCTTACATGTCCCTATCTAAACTTTTGATTAACTATCTACTGATATTTAATTGGGACATATAACGGGTGATCAAGATTCGGAATTCTGCACCACCCTGTATTTGTTTCAATTAAATGTCAGTAGATAGTTGATCAAAAGTTGAGATAGGGACATGTGAGCCGTTTTGACCAATTATGAATGGTTTAGACACAAAAAATTCTTAAACTTGGAAAATCTCGATTTCTCACACCCTATATCTCAGTAATTATAACTGCTAGACCCCAAGTATGATGGATTGTTGAAATCAGCTCACCAGGGAGAATCTCAAAATGAAATAATATATAGGGTGTTCGCTTGAAAAAAGTTCAACTTCAGTGTTTTGTGATTTTTGGGGACATCCTGTATGTTTCAAAATAATTTCAAATGGTTGTCTATGTTGACATGCAACTTCCTAGAGAGGAAGAATTCCAAGAAGATAAGTGGTTAGCCTTCTATAGACCGAGGCGTTACTGGTGGCCCACCCTGTATATATAGAAAGAAATACATTGAGAATTCGCATTCTCCATGTGATGAAAATAATAATTCTTCCTCGAATTATTCATATCCAAAAAGAGAACATATTGGTAAGTTATATTTTTATATCATAATACATCATATAATTTTATTCGATTTGAGAGATAATGTCAATTCTCAATTTCAGGGGATTTTGAGTTTTCATGCTCTCTTTTTAGATATTCAACAGATATAATAATTCAATGTTCGACGTGGCAAATAGCCATGAAAGTAGTTGTTTTCTGTTGAATATTCAGAATGATATCATATGCATACTTTATATGAAGAAGAATGCAAATTCTCTACTTCAGAAGATGTTGTTTTCAAATTCTTGTCTTGTGTGTTCAATAGATATAATTCAATATTCGTCGTGGCATATAGCCAGGAAAGTAGTTGTTTTCTGGAGGAAGAATTAATATTTTCATATATATCCATTATTTTGTGTTCATATAAATATATCCGAGAATATCCCTTTTCAACCTCCTTATTGGCTACTAATAGATCACGAGATACATTTTTGTGGCATGCGCGTGTCATTGCAGACCGAGTTACAGACTTTTATAATAATCATTTTGTGTCTCTTGAAAACATATTATGAAAATTAAAATGAATGTTTCAGTGCTTCCAAAAAAAAATCCAAGTAACCCAATCTTGGTGAACAATTTTCGTTGGGTCACCTTGTTTTAGTTTAGTCTCTGACTTTCGAGGGTTGCTTTGCAACTAAGCTGGCGGTTAAAAACACTTTTAAAACACTTTTAAAACCTTGTATACCAATAAAGAATGGCCACGAGCGATGCAAATTTTAGACTGATTTTGAATACGATTTCATATTTATGACATGAGTAGGTATATTGTTGAAGTTTGTAGTCCCATGATGAAAAAAGTGCCACTTCCGCGGAAACATAAGAAATAATGAGAGAAAAAAGGTGTGAGCATATTCTTATGTTAATTTTCAGAATACCTCAAGATTCCTAGACATTTATGCTTATGCTTTGATCGAAGTGAAAATATCGATAAGATTGTAAATTATAGAAAACAGGCTAATCCATTGCTTTGAGTTTCTATGTCAGTGTAATAAAACTCTAATATAGCGAGAATATACGTGACAACAGAATAAAAAACTATGATAGTCTATAGTCTATAATACCATATGTCAGAATATCGAAATCAATGAATTTGAACGAAAGTAGCTGAGATGCAGTTTCCTCTTTAATACAGAGTGAGACCTAAAACTGCAAAATTATCTTGTTACTATACAGGGTATGTCACGACGAACTTACACTATCTTTATATCGAGAATCATCGGGAGAAATCTGTGAAGATGTGCTTGCTGATATTTCAGAATATGCTCGGTTCATTTAAAATAGTTTCGACAATGCAGTGTTGCCGCTTCTACTAGAAAGTAGTAGCAACATTGATATTTCAAATGGAGCACCCTAGCTGTATTTTATCGCATTTTTAGATTCTCCCTCCCTCAAGCAGAGCTGATTTCATCAATACATCACACTTTGGATCTATCAAAAATGATTACAGAGATATAGGGTGTTCAAAATCGAATATTTTTCAATTTTAGAACTTTTTATGTCGAAACTATTCATTATCGGTCGAAATGGCTCACATGTCCCGTTTGATTCACTATTTACCGATATTTAATCGGAACAGATACAGGGAGGTTCAAGATTGAGAATTCTGATCACCCTGTATCTGTTCCGATTAAATATCAGTAAATGGTAAATCAAAAATTGAGACAGGGACATGTGATCCGTTTTGGCCGATAATGAATAGTTTCGACAGAAATACAAATCCTAAAGTTGAAAAATCTGTAATCATTTCCGATAGACCCCAAGTATGATGTATATCTATGAAATCAGCTCTTCAGGGAGAATCTAAAAATGTAATAAAATACAGGGTATTCTATTTGAAATAACAAAGTTGTTGCTACTTTTTGATAGGAACGGCCCCACTGCATTGCTGAAAATATTCTACAATGCACAAAATGCGTATTACCAAATAGATCACATTTCACATTCAACAATTACCCTGTGTTGTTACAAATCGAATTATCATACCATTTAAATCAGTTTTTATTGCAAATGATGAGCCAATGCGCTGTTCAGTAAAGTTGTTGACAATAATTACTATACTGAATGATTCGAACAGACAGTGCCAGCCCACTAACTGAATTTGGAAATTGTCGTACATATTATTCGAAATATTCCTAGTAGTATAAACTAGTCGACTTTTGAACGGAATGCACATTTCCATTCCATGGAAGAATAACATGGCAATAATAATAATAAGTTTTATTCATCATCTCATATAGTAACAAAAAGAAGTAAATACATATTCATTGAAATTATAGAGTTATTATATTATTATAAAGAAAAAAAAAGGTAATAGAATGAAATGAAAATATAGGTCGGTACCTACTTGATGAATAAAGCATTGCCAACCCCAAGGAAATTAATCCGCGAGGGGTTATCGGCTGGTTGTCTAATGTCTATACAATACAATAGCGATCTATGAATTCTTTCATACAGAGCAATTATGAATATTTGAAAAACTAGAAAATTAATAATATGATATAAATTCAATAGGTAAGGTAATGACATATTTCTCAGTTGTTTTTTAGATCTATCAATTCGTGTATTTTCATTCTGGATTGGGTGGATATCCATTTCTTGATTTTGGCTCTCCATAACATGAATGAGTTAATTTTTTTAATCTCGATTGGTAAGTGGTTGAATATTCTCGAGCCCAAAAAGCAATAACTCCTTTTTCCTACTGTTTTGTTCGCTCTTGGTACAATCATCGATGCTTGTCTGTATCTTGTTTCATAATTATGGGGAATTTCCAGTCTGTTCCCATCTCTGAAGTACTGTGTCAATATGGCTTGGCAGTATAACTGTATCATTACATCATTTTATGAGTAACTAATATCGGCGAGAGACCTAAATATGTGCTATGTGAACTATATCCGCTAAATTTCCGGAAGCTGCTTCACAAAAACTCGGATTTTTATTCCGTGCGAAAATCTACTTACTTCACATCTCAACAGCTTCTCATCATGTATGATCAAAGCACAGATACTGATGCCTGTTTTGGGAAGAGTCATTCGCCTGGTGGGTGATACCACACTCACTAATTCTTCGACATCATTGGATCGCCGTAGAAAATTCGTCGACCTTTCACTTTTCTATAAATATATACTTCCACGGAAAATTTTCTCCAGAAATCTCTGCTATAATTCCATCATCAGCAATACCAGTCAGACGAACTCGGCAAGCCTATAGTCAGCACATCGGTTTGTTGTCAACCTTGAAATATGTCGAACAACACTTCATCAAAACTCGTTTGTCTACGAACGACAAATCTCTGTAATTCTTTGCCAATGGAAGTATTTCCGAGAACTTATTACCTCAAAAAATACCTACCTCCTCTCCACATCCTTCATAGGTATGCACGGTGTTCTTCGAACAGTATAGGGATCCCCTTTCGTGCGCACCAAGGGATGAAAAATTCCGTTGGTGACTCGGCAACTACGCTCACAAGATGCGAACAGATGTAGCCACACGTACCACACTGAATTTCCTTTGGTGTGAATTATTAAATATAAAGAAAATATATAATGCAATTAATGATGATCTATGAATGTTTATAGCAAGACAATTCGCGTTATGTCCGGAAATAGTTTGATGTCTGACAACTATGTGATTCACTCACTGAGTCGTGACGTCGATATATAAGTGGAAAATTTCGATCGTTTGAATGAGACTATGGCTCCATTTGTGAATTTGTTACCTTGAAACCAGTCAGGAAAATTTTGCAAAATGATAAAATTTGTGGCATTTTAGTGATTTAGATTGAGAATAAAGAGTAATCAGTCCACTAGCTCATTATTGACCAAACTGTTTCTTTCAGGGTTGGCGAGTAGCCGAGAAGTTTCACAAAGGAAGTGCTGGTTGGATACCTCGAGAAGAACCTCCAGAGTCATTAGACCTAAAACTGAAGAGACGACGCATCAGAAAACGAAAGAGGAAACCACAGCAGACGGAAGAATCCAGCGACGATGGAGAAAGGTACATCAAGAGATTCCACCCCCACAGACTAGACCAGGGACGACAACCCTGGGAAGAAATTAATGAAGAAGCCATGAGAAGTCCAACCATAAGAAGAAGAATAACTCCTGTCTACTATAGTCCTCAAAATATCAATAAACACACTGTTAATTCCATTTCAACCACCACTGATTCGTCAACTAAAAATAGGACGGAACCAATGTCTTCAACATCGTCCATAATGGTTGAAGATCAAGAAATTCAAAGGATGACTGAACCCAAAATTGATCATTTAGCAGGATTGAAGAGCCTATTGAAAAAGTCAAGGGGCAATATAAGTCTCAGTGAAATTCTACAACAGAAAAATCTATCACTCTCCGAACTACTGAAAGGTGGTGAACATGCAATATCGGCCCTAACCGAGAAACCAGTGACCACAACCCTTCCAACCAAATCAGTATATTCCACCGAAACAGAACCAAGTACAAAGTACAAGAGGTTGCCACCTTCAATTGCTTTGACGAAAACGACAGATAGAAATTACGTTCTGGAAGATCAATCCTTCGAAACACTGACAGATCAAGAAACCGTTGAAGCTCAGAGAAAGCGGCTCGCTTTATTACAACCCAAAGAGAATAAACTGTTTTCATCTCTAAATGAAATGGAGGTTGTGACTGAACCCACAACTGAAAGAAGAATATTCGTTACTTCTTACCCAAAATCCGATCAACTCAAAATTTCACTTTCATCTAAATCTACTGCAAAATCTACTCCTAGTACCGCTACTACCCCTAAAATTGATATAACTATCGCTACAGAAAGTCCCAAAACCGAGCCCATCGAAATGCAAGTCATTAATAGAGAGAAAACACATTTACCCACAACGAATGCAAAGCTGAGGTCGACAACGAAGAAAATCAATGTGAATAAGGAAATTATCAATCCTTTCGCTTTTGGGTTCCCTGAACCTATGAAAATAAGTATAAACGAAATCTTAGGCTTTGGAGATGATAAAATTAAGGAGGATAACAATGATGCACCTATGAGAGTTTCCATAGATATAGAAGAGCTCATAGAGAAAAACAAAGAAACGTCCTTTACCGAAGCGCCAACTACAAAAGTTGTGACAGAAAACCAGACCTATGTGACAGCGAGAAGAGAGATCATGGAAATAATGAAGGATCCAGTCAGCAGAGATAACCTATCACGTATACTAGAGAACAGAAATATGACCTTGAACGAGTTAGTGGAGCAACGTGAACGAGGTTACAGTCAACGCCATTTGGCAGATATATTCCACAATAGTACTAGGGAACCCGAGCCTAAAGAAGAACCATTTATTGGTCATATCTTAGCTGATTCATTTCCAAGTTTCCCCTCGCTTACTAGGCAACCAAAAAGTCGTACTTTTGAAGAAGACATACCTAGCAAAATCCTTACCACTGCTAAAACTACAGAAGCACCAGAACTGATTACTAGCAGACCTGAAACTGCCTCCACTACGTTTGGAAACGAGATTAAGACTGATTTGAGTGCTCAAGATATACAGCCTTTTCCTTGGAAACAACTATATCCAGACCTCTTTGCCGATTCTGTAGAAACAGATTCCAAATTCACAGAAAATGACTCGGAAGAGGAAACACGAAGTTCAGAAAGATTAGACGGCAGCTTGTCCAATGAACAATTGAAACCAGACGAATATGATCTCTTCTTTCAGATACCACCAGGTGTGAAGTCTGCTTTATTTGTTAGTTTAGCCATAATAGGATTGTCACTAGTTGTCTTCTTGACGATACTGGTAGTATTTAGGTGGCTGCAGAAAAAGAACAGAGCAATTAACTATTGCAGTAGCTTATCTTCTAAAATTCGATCTCCTATTATAATTCAGGGACGTCCTTCGAACGCCATCAGAACATTCGTGAACGAAACGGTCAGGAGAAAAAAGAACTATTTCAAGTCAAACATGCAAAGTATGTCTGACGAAATTTGGGAAAGTAGCCGTGACAGAAAACCATCTTTTTGATTTGGTTAAATTTGAGACTGTATACTATACGTTGTAAATTATTTATTGTTTTTATTTCAGTATGTGATCATTTCAGTGCAATAATCACTAAATGTTCAGTAAGATAAGTGTTCATCCTATAAGATTATTTCTTGGTGCCAGGACTATTTCACTGGAGGTAATCACCTTAATGCGTTTTAATTTTCTAAGAATGAAGTAATTTATTTTAATAATAAGTCATGTAAAACTATTGATCAATTGTATGAAAAGAATCTGTATGAATGTGAAAGTATTGAGAATAAATATCTTTTGTTGTTAATGATTTTTATACGTGATTATTTTCATCATATCGGAACTTTCTTCCAGAACAGTGGCGCTTCGAGGTTAGGTCATAATTAATCAGTGGAGAAATGCCAACAAACCAGCAGCATTGGCGCTATAATTACATGAAATGACCAGTTTTCAACCATAGCTCTTTCAATTTTCAATGACATTAAGAAGTTATTTATTAGGCATCCAGCTCACAATATCGTTGGAATAAAAATGGATCAGATACATTGTGGTGTTTTGTGTTTGAACTCCAATAATTAATAATTCCTGAAGACATCATCAGAAATGCATTCCGGCATCCTAATAACAAATCATATTTTTGTTTATTCCATGTTTTTTTGGATTATCTTCAGTATTTTATATATGCTCATAAGATAAGGTCCAGTCGAAAATCGTGTCGAAACTCGAGTCGAAATTAATAAACCAGAAGTGACTCGACTTTTTTCCTCATTCTCACGGATTCATAATAAAGAAATCATTCAACATTGTTGAATGTCACAGGTGACATGTATTTATACAGGGTATTTCCGAAAATGGGGCAATAAATAAATGTTTTGAACATTTTTCTATGTATTATTGAATGTTCGGCTGGCGACAATATTGCAAAAGTCATTGATAGCAAGCAAACGCTTGGAATGGCCTATTAACCTCTGATCAATGATTTAGAAAAGTTTCAGGTAGTTTGAAGCTCAATATCTTTCAAAATATTTATTTGTAAAAATGTATTTTTCATTTCGTTTTGTTTTTTCGTCTTCTATTATCCATTTCATTTATTGCCCTAATTTCGAAAACACCCTGTATGTATACCTGATTATAATTTTCAAGGGCATGTCACAATTGCCTGGAATTAACATTGAATTAAAATTCAACACGAAAAATATATTTTTTTCCAAAATGCATAAACGGTGTACTTTTGCTGCCTTGATAGAAAAAGTTTTGTTGCTTTGCAAACGTTCCAAGTAATACTTTGATTCAAATTGGTTATTAAAATTGACAATGTCTTGAATGAACACCAAATGATAGATTATTTGGTTTTGAAATTGGAACGAATCTGATGAAAACATTATACACTGTGTCCGTAAAGTATGGAACAAATTCGATATTTCCTAAACTAAAAGCCTTTTCAAAAAAATCAGAAATACGTCAATTTTTGATTTTGATGTTCTACATTTTACCACGAAATCTCATTCAACACAAAGGTGAGGACGCCATCGACAATTTTTTTCTATGTAACACCCTATATTTTGTGACATTTTTAGATCAGTGAAAATGAGCTGATTCCAAAAAGGTATTATACTTGGGGACGAAAAATAGAGGATCTTACATTTGATAAAATTGCCGATGCCGTCATCACGTTAATGTACTATGTATCACACTGTGAAATGAAATTTAGTGTTGAAATGTAGAACATCAAAATCAAAAATTGACGTGTTTCAGATATTTTTGAAAAGGCTTTTAGTTTAGGAAATATCAAATTTGTTTTATACTTTACGGACACAGAATATGTTTCACATGGCAGAAAAGCAGATTTCATGTCTTGGCTGTTTTCTAAGCCTCGGCTACGCCTTTTGGCTATGAATCGCTGTACTTTTCTGCCAAGTAAAACAAATAAGTATTCTTGAATTCCAAAAGAAATACTGAATGTTCCAGTTGAAAAAATGTTATCGATTTTTATGATGCATGTAATTGAACAAAAATAATTAATCAATCTAGGAATGTCCGTGCCTCATTCTTCACCAAATCAATAGGACTATATCACCCTCGATATCACCTGTGAATCATTGTTCAAATTTCGTAACACACTGGTATACATATATATGAGACGATAAAAAACTACAATAGTGAATATTTGTGAAGAATCTGGTGGATATATGAAAACATGGATTGTACTCGACCACAACTCGACCTAATTTGTAGAAAGACTAACCAGCGAGGCAGCGAAGCAACTACTTATATAATATCCAAGAATTCACTGTGTTTACTTACTGAAGATCCAAAACATTCCGTTTTTCGCCATCTAAATTTCGATCATATAAGTTCAAAATCTTTGTAATAAGATTGTTCGCGAGAAAATTAAAAGAATTGATAGGACCTCGAAAAGAACACTGTTTCTACGTTTCGTGTTCCTTTCAAATTTGAAGCGAATTTGGAATATTCGGTGATATCACCGTGATATCACCTGTATATACCGGCTGCTGTTTTGGTCAAACAGCAATTTATATATTCTTTCTCAGTCTGAATCTGGATTTTTTACTGACTAGTACGTGTTGCTCGTGATGAGGTATTTCCGACGGTATTTCCGTTTCCTAATGAAACACCCTGTAAACTGAATATGAGATCCGGAGATGTCCGGTTTTCGTGCCTCTGTTTTCTGTTAAAGGAAATGAGAGAGCATTTTGCTAAAAATGGCGAGATGACAATTTCCAATCTCATTACTAGGTTCATTACGTATCGGCAGATTTTCACTACCGGGCAATCATTATTCGAATTCCGAAGCAATTGATCTGAATTCTGAATAATTCTCGTTTATACGCTCTTTCTCTCTACAACGTTAGAAATTTTCTCGGGAATCTGGACCAACCTCAGATCGACAACAAGGAACCAACTGTTATCACAGCAACATGTGATATTGCTGCAACGCTACATTATCAAACTTCACCTTTGCAATATTGCTGAACGTCCGTTTCAAATATTGCTTCAACATTCCATCAACATAGCTTTCAAGTTTTCTTAGTGGGTAGGAGCTATAGAGATAAGCCTCGAAATGAGCCTACTCTTTCCTGGCTATATTTTGGGATAGGTAATTCAGTAGACGTGTTTGCTCTTTTTATTATTATACAGGGTGTTTTAGGTTTCAATCAGAAACATTTGATAAACGATAAAATTCGCAAAAATAATCTTTCAAATATGTTTTGGAATTTCATTTTAGGTTTGCAGTTTGAAATATAAAATATTTTATTCACAGTGGGAAACCCGAGGGTAAACCTCTTTAGCTGATGAGGTGCTGAGGTTCGTAGAATTTTCCCACTTCGGGACCTCTCTCAGAAAAAAGTTGAAATTCGGTATACTATTCTGATTTGATCAATGTATTCACATGATGAAGTTTTAATTTTTTCAATTTCGTTAAGCAGTGGCAGTGGTGTTACTGTCGTATGTCACCACATTTTCCTTCAATTATGTGGTGGGTGGTGATTGGGTAAAATGAATAGGTGACATAATAACTCTATTTCTTCTACTCCTGTTAGGCGTCCTTATTATTAACGAAAGCATCTGTAGGCAGATGATTCATTTTTAATATACAAATTATTACTATCGAGATTACTATACAGGGTGGTCTGGTTTGTAATACAAAATATTCAACAGTGTGTTGTACTCGTTGAAATAATAAAAAAAGTTCATATAGGTAGACATATATAATTTTTAACGCGTCGTTATCGAGATATAGGGTGTTGAAAGTACGAGTCTGAATATTGTTACCTGATGAAAAGTTCGAAACGGTTTGTAATATAAAAAATTCAACAGTATGTTGTATTCGTTCAAATAATGAAAAAAGTTAACATAAACATATACTTTTGAACGCGTCGTTTTCGAGATATAGGGTGTTGAAAATACGAGTCTGCATATTGTTTTTGGATGAAGAGTTCCAAGGGACTTGAAATAAATCAACAAAATTTCGCGTATATATTCTAAACTTTTTACGCTCTATAAAATGAAATAAAAATTATTCCATAAAGTAATTCATTGGCATAGCAGATTCTAGGGGTAGTGAAGTTTCATTGTGTTTGTCCAGTAATTATTTTTTGTACCTTAGATTTCTCATATTGTTAATCCGGTTCAATTCGAAAACGTTGTAACGCATTGAAAAAATACAACATAACTATTATACGCAGAAATATATCAGTTTTCACATTTTGTACTCGAAGATGAGTAATTGAATGCACATATAAAAATTGGAGTGATTTTTTCCTTCACCACTCCCAGATTCAGCGTTTCGAACTTTTCGTCCAAAAACATTATTCAAACTCGTATTTTCAACACCCTATATCTTGAAAACGACGTGTTCAAAAGTATATGTTTGTAAAAACTTTTTTCATTATTTCAACGAGTACAACATACTGTTGAATTCTTTGTATTACAAACCGGACCACCCTGTATATTATGTTGTTTACATAATGGCATTGCATGAAGCTTAGTTTTCTGCTAGGCAATTTTGGCTTTGGCGATGGTAGCGATGAAACGTGTGATATCATCGGTCAATGTAGCTAACCAATTCGAACTAACCAATAATTTCATTGCTAGCATCGCCAAGCAGAAAACAAGCAGAAAACCGACAGAAAACCGAGGGGCAAATCTCCAGGAAAAATGTGTACACCAGACTTCCAATTAACATAGACATCCAAAGACTTCCAAATACTTCCAAAGACTCCCAAAGACTTCCGAAGAGTTCCAGAGACATCCAAAGACTACCAAAGACTTCCAAAGACATCCAAAGACTCCCAAAGACTTCCAAAGACATCCAAAGAATTCCAAAGACTTCCAACGGAGTGTACACTAGACTTCCAAGGAGATTTACCCCTCGCAGAAAACTATGAGCTTGAAAGGGACGTGTTATAGCTCTATCTCCATAAGTGGAAAGCGGCACATCAAAAAAATATTTCAATGGTCAGTAGAAGTAGGATAGGATCAGAGAATATATTATAGCTCACAATGTTAAGATCAGAATATTTATAGAGACCCTATATCATATCTACCCGTAGGTATCTACCGAGGTATCTACCCTGGTCTCTACCTCAGTAGCTACTTAGTACTCTATTCATTAACTCATTACTCATATATTTTATGGTACTTACCAGTATTCCCAGTATGTGAATTTGTCCTTCATCAACCTACTAATAGGATCCTCCGATGTATTGAACAATTTGTAAAAATAAGCATATTGCCTAGCAATACTTTTTATTTGTCTTAAAGCTATCTCTAATGTAGGACTTCCAGTTAGCTCTTCCAGCTCTTCAGGAGTGAAATATAAAACAGTGCTATAATTCAATGGAAGAATATTGATATATGGCATCCAAAATGAATCTGTCTTGAATTTTTCATACAATAAAAAAATTGATAAGGCCACATTAGGCATATTACTTAGAATCTGATCAGTCTCCATGATATTTTTCAGGTCAGTTTTTCTGGCAGTTTCCAAACTCATCATTAGATTTCTGGGAACTGCAATGACTAGCGAAGAGAATGGTATTTCAGTGGTAACTCTCAATCCCAAATCGAATCCATCAAATTGAGCGATTTCGCATCCTTTGATTTCCGCGCCATTCTCGATAACCCACTTCGTGAAATTCTCGATGGTGGCAGCACCTGTCCGTTTGCCAATCGCATGTTTACTTCTATTTGCTTGCAATTTATTTATTCTCTCCGTTAGAGAATTAATTTCTCTCTGGGCTTCCAAAGCCTTCAGTGGGTTAGTTTGTTGTGGGGTCGTGCTAATTCTTAATAGCTTGTCAACATAATCGTTTATCTCTTTGTCCTTCTTGCTGATTTTTTCGTTCTTGGTGATGATGGTGTTTTTTGATCTTTGGCCTTGTCCTTTTCTAGTCATGTTCACCTCTTAAGCGAATTATGATATTCGTGATTAGATATAGTGAAATTTTGTTTTAATTAAATCCAGAGCACAACACGTGAAACTGATAAACACACACATGATCGAGTATCGAGTTTCAAGTCTCAATTTATTTATAAACATTCGACATTCCTCCATCTGCCGTAATTGATCGGTGGTTTGATTACTGATTTCTGTCGCATCGCATCTACCCAGAGCAGTACAGTTTGTCTACTGATAACTAGATGGCAGCTTGATATGCGAACCTTGTGCGGTAGCATTTAATTCAAAACGAAATAAACAAGACATACAATTTTCAAAAAAATTGAAGAAATCACAATAAGAATTCGATTTGACTCCAAATTTTAATGAAGGGGGGGGGCATAGAGTTATTTGAAAGTCAGGTATCAAGTTATGAAAGACAATAAAAATAATTGAACCAGAGATTGAACTGATTACTTGGGAAGCAACATTTTCCGATAAACGGTTCTGCAGATAGAGCTATCGAGTTTGGGACACCCTGTATTAAATATACAAACACATACCGAACTATATAAAAACATGACGTTGACACGTTGTCCCTGCAACGTCATGGAACTAACGTAATATTTCACCTATCCAAGTGATGTTCAAATAACGTCGTAATGATGATGTGATTATCACGTCATAGAGAGTACGTCACAGTGACGTCAGAAATTGATGTGTGACGTCTCTGACAAAAGAATCACCATTAGTCATCTGGTTGCCTGAGAATTACCTCTCAACAACTCTCGAAGATCTGATACAGGGTGAGTCATGAGGAACTGTACAGGGTGGGCCAAATTCGACACTTTTAAAGGGAAAGCCTTATTCCCGTTCAAGAAAGAAAAAAACTGATGTTGGTGCCTGGTGATCAATTCACATGACGAACTCAAAGGTGAAAACCGCATATCGATATCTATCTTTATTTCAGAGCTACAAGGTGTTTTTCAAAAATGTGAGTTTTTGAAAAGTGGCTAAAACTCTTTCTTTACTAAATATTCGTGTTCGAGAAAAAATTCCTGGATATTAATTGAAGTTAAAGTGGTATTCGGTGAGAGAATTCACACTGAAATATTATTAAAAATTTATTCACCGAATTTGTTTGGAAATATCAAATATCAATTGCTTCTGGTGTGTGAAAAATATGGAGCTCTTCGTGGATTACAGCAGGATAAGATTGTTTCCAAGTACTACATATATTTCATGAAACATAGACATTTTATACGTTCTAGTGAATGTTGAAAGAAGACGTAGCTAAGGAATTTCAACAACACTTAGATGTTTAGTTTAGTTTAGTTTAGTTTATTTATTGGCAAAGTATTACACTAAAGTGCTTTTACAAGTCAGATATAAGAAAATGAGAGAGAAAAAAAAAATGTTACAAATAGTACATAAACAGTATAAAACATGTCACTAGTATGATACAGCTTGTCAGATACGAATCTAATAGGTAGCAATACATAGGAAGACAAACATCAAAATATAGTAAGGAATACATTTACATATTAAAGTCACTTTCTAGATACTCTTCGATGGAATAGAAGGCATTTTTCAAGAGATACGTTTTGACTTTGTTTTTAAAATAGTTAAAATTTAGGTTTTTGACCTCTATTGGAAGAGCATTAAAAAATTTTATGCCGTAGTAATCAGCGCCCCTTCTTGTACGTTGCAACCTGTGGTAGCTGAGTACTAAATTGTCTTTATTTCTTGTTGGATATGAGTGAATATCACTATGTGATCTGAAGTTAGCTAGGTTCTGCTTTATGTAGGTTAGGCAGTGAAAAATAAAAGTACATGGAAGTGTAAGGAGTCTCAGTTCTGCAAAACTATTTCTACAACACTCTCGATACTTCAAACCTGCGATAATTCTAACACAACGTCTCTGTAATTTAAAAATTTGAACAGTATTGGGGGAATGACCCCAGTTTAAGATAGCATAGGATAAATTGGAATTAAAGTATCCATGGTAAGCCGAAAGTAGGGTGTCCCTGGATACATTTTTTGAAAGACTTCTTATTAGGAAAGTTATTTTAGACAGCTTGGAGCTTAGATGATTTATATGAACGTTCCATGTCAACCCTGGATCCAAGTAGACCCCCAAAAATTTAACTGATGCCTGACTTTCCAGGTTTGTTGCAGAAGTTTGCAAAGTGAAGTTCATATTATGTGTCTTGTCAGCATTTAGACTTAGTTTGTTAGCCAAAAACCAATTCTTAATCTGGTCATCTTTATTTTTGGTCCACTGAAGTATTGGGTCTGAGGGGTGGTAACGCATCAATGTAGTGGTATCGTCGGCAAATAAGATTATAAGCAGAGATGTGATATTGGTGAAGTTAGGCAAGTCGTTTATGTAAATGAGGAAAAGCAGAGGACCCAGCACAGAGCCCTGAGGAACTCCATGCTGAATCCTCTGCTTTTTTGATTCCACATTATTGAAGAAAACATATTGCTCCCTCTCCTCCAGATAGGACTTGACAAGAGCTACACTGCTTTGGTGAAAATTGTAGTGAATTAGTTTTTTATAGATGATTTCGAAAGAGATGCAATCGAACGCTTTTGTCAAATCTAGGAAGGTAGCATAAGTGTTCTGTTTGTTATCAAGGCCTTCAGCTACAAACTCAATTAGTCGATCTATAGCTAAAGTAGTACTTCTTTTACTGCGAAAACCAAACTGGTTTGGTGAAAAAATGCCATTTTGTTCAAAATATTCATTCATTTGGTCTTTTAACAGTGATTCAAAAATTTTTGCTATTATTGGCAACAATGATATTGGCCTGTAGTTGGTTAGATCTTCGGGATCACCCTTGTTCTTAAAGATGGGTATAACTTTTGCTAGCTTGAAGTGAGATGGGAATTTACTAACACGAATGCAGTGATTAAGCATGTCCGTCAAAGGTTTGCATAATATATACTTAAGATGTTTGATAATTTTAGAGTTAATGTCATAGCAGTCTTTGCTATTACTGTTTTTGAGGCATGAGATTTTATTTAGAACCATTTCTTGACTGACTTCTCGAAACACAAAGCTATGACCTGTATATTGGTTTGTTAAATAATCATTGTAGGAGCAATTTGTAGTGGCAAGGTTTTTGATTATTTCGTCAGCTATTGAGATGAAAAAATTATTAAAGACATGAGCATTAAGCCCAGTACCCTCAGGGGTAGAGGGAGAGTTCCTATGAGAATTAATGATGTGCCACATTGCTTGAGATTTATTGGCTGCATTGTTAATAAAGTTATCATGGGCGGTTTTTTTGGAGTTGGTTATCTCTCTCCTATATTGAAGTTTATAGCTACTGACCATGTTTTTGGGGACCAGAGTTGGATTTTGTTTGTGCAGGAGACTTAGTGTTTGTAGCCTACCCCTCATATTCCTAAGATTGTCATTAAACCAGTTTACTTTACAAAAACGCTGATTTTTTTTAACCATCCTGGATTGAAGTGGTAGGTTTTTGTCTATTGCATTGGTTAAGACGCTAAGAAAATTGCATAATTGGGCCTCGACATCACAATCGGCTTGTGTTATAGAAGACCAATTAAAAACTTTTAGCTGATTGTATATAGACTCAAGACCTTCATTCGTAATCGGTCTGTAATTGATCCTAGTGCTATGATTGTAAGCAAATTGTATAGGTGTATTAAAAACTATTCCAGAGTGATCTGAGATACCTTCCAAAGCAATAGGGGAGATATCGAGATTTGAAGTATTAAAATTGACGTAAACATTATCTAGGGTAGCTTGCCCCCTAGTTTTAAAATTAACAGTTGGAAACAGGTCATATGAGTTAAAAAATAGGTTAAGATACTCAGCCTCCTTACAGCTCGGCTGTTCGTAATGCACATTAAAATCACCAAATAAAATAGTATTACCTGTGAGGTCTAATTTATCCAGAACCTGAGACATAACTTCAAAATATGTATTTAGTTCACCCTTAGGAGATCTGTAAACTGTTAAAATGTTGGTATTGATAGAGGAAATGTGAATCCCCGCTACCTCACACTGTAGTTCCCTGGAAAGGTTTGGTAGATTAAGTTCTTGACAGTCCAAACCTTCTTTAAGATAGATGCCAACACCTCCATGTGCTTTATTAGTTCTACAAAAACTGGAAATGGCCACGAAGCCTTTTATTTTTATTTGTGAGAACTCATCAGTATGAAGCCAATGCTCATTAGTACAAAAGCAATCAGCCTTCGATTCCTTGAGAAGTATTTCAAAATCAGAAATTTTATCCCTAATACCTTGTACATTAGCGTAAAAGACTTTAAAGTTTTTACTTAATAGACCCTTGCGACTTCTTCCTTCCTTTGACAGCTTCTTCCTTCCTCTGACGGCTTTTGCAAATGTTGTATGTTTGGTAAGCTGGCTTTTCGGAGAAATAATTGAATTACTTGGGTTTTCACAATTGGTTTGAGTTTTTATAATTACATCTTTCGAGTAATCACTTTCAACTGGGCAGATTTTCAGATCCCCTTTCATTAAAAATTTTCTGTATTGTCACTAGCGTCATTGATGACATCTCTGATGTTAAAAACTTCATAGTATTTTTTTGTTTTTTTTTTTTTTTTTTTTTTTTTTTTTTTTTTTTTTTTTTTTTTTTTTAGATGATTTAGTTGAAAAGGGTGGTTGTTTGTGATGAAATGTAAGAACTAAACGTATAGTAACAATATGGGTGGGTGAAAATTGCGAATGCGCAAGTATACCTACATAATATTATATGGTAAACTGTTGATAAATGATTTTTATTTATTGACTTATAGAATGAGCTCGAAATAATATGAAGTTGAATGTAAATGTCATTTAACCTATTAACGTCAAAAAATTTCCAGTGCAATTTCATGCTCCCCCAAGGAGGAGGAAGACATTTCCAATGAATTTGTTTAGTTGCTATGGTAACGATACGAAATACAGGCTTTAAATTGATCGAAAATGTTTGATGTGAAATTTTCGATAAAACAGCCCACCAACCTTTAGGGCTACTCAGCAAAATTTTGGGATTTTTGACTTTGACTTTAAAACCCCACGTTTTAGTAGCGTCAACTGGTGAGACTGAAAATGATAGCCCTCATTGACGGGAATCATGGGGCCTCAGCAAATCATTTTGTTGTCATGCGTCATCCCCGATGCTGAAATCTGTAAGAAGAAATCTCAGTTCACAGTTTGCAATTCCGCTCGGCTCCAGAAATCCAGACTCCGGGAGTCCTTTGTTCGAGTCCTCGAATCATTTTGCGCGGGAATCCTCAATTCTGAATGACTTACATTGCACATAGGTAGTTAAAGTTTCAGGATAATGTGTTCTGTGTCAAATTATTAGTGTGGACATAGATTAAGGGTTTGTTCAAATTATGGTGTGGATGATGCTCGTCTAAATCTGAACTTTGATAACTTTCTTGTATCCTAATTTGAAATGTGGGACGAAGTCAAACATTTGTGCTTCTTATTTTTACTTTTTAAAGGTGAGTTTGAGAACAGAAAGAATCATAAACGGATATCTTTATGTTTTTGTTTCTCTGCGTAAGCTAAAATTAGACGAGATATTATTATTATTAATACTTATACAGGGTGATTCATTGGAAATGCGCATACAAGGGTTGATGGAGGACACCGAGGTGTTTCTGAATAATCCATATTTCATGGGTCTATCATTCTTTTTAACCGAGATACAGGTTGATTTATTGATTTTTCCCATAATTTCAATTAATTATAACTTCTGAACTAGCCTATACAGTTTTTTAAAATTTGGTTTGTATATTCTTTGTTCCCAGTGATGACGAATGATGAATTCATGAATCATTTTACTATAATATTTTCTAAATGGCGGTGACTTGTATTTGGAAATGAATTATACCTGAAAACCATAAAAACTGGTATCAGTAATTAATTTAGATTATATAATCTATTATTACAACATATATTTCGATTCAAATAATAAGAAAACCTGAATTTGAAAACATAAATTCCAACAAATAATACATTCATATACAGGGTGTCCCAAAATCAGCTTGCCAAACTCTACCACCGGCTTCTATGACCAAAAATTGGAAGGAAACATGAGTCAAAAAACGTCTCCTAAGGGAGCTACGGCCGCATGAAGATGATATTTCTTGAATATCTCCGAAACACCATCTGATAAAATGATGCAATTCGTTATAAGAATTGAACTCCCCATGCTAAATGCAGTGAAAATAAAATCATTCAAGAATTTCATTCAGGAGTGTATAATACAGAGTGGGACTACAGTAAATATTGCTCATACTTTTTTGTGTGCACATTTTTCGACGGATTATGAAAATCCGCACCGCGTTACAGTAAAAGTTACCTCTGTTCCGTATCAATCAGATGAACCATTTTCGCGAGTAAAATCGATCTAAAGATATTGTTACGTCTGCCATTCTATCCATAACGTTGCCAATTTTAAAATCATTGTGGGTGTTCATTGGAATATTTCTACCTATTTTTGGTCGTAGAAATCGTCGGTGAAGTATGGCAGGCTGATTTCGGGACACCCAGTAGTTCTTCTTTTTCACTAACCTGGATTTTATGAAAGAATTACTCGATTTATTTGGGGGTTTCGTAATCAGATGAGAGTTTCGTAATCAGATGAGATATATTCAATCGTTAACTAACTAATGTAGAGTACGAATTAGCAAAATTGAACTTACAGAGTGTAAAGGGGTCAAAGTAGAACCAATATAGGTACAGTATGGGTTTTCAAACTTGAGTCGGCACTTTTGTTAACTTGGTTGTCATTGGAAGATACAAATTCGGTTAAATTGACAAACTAGTAGTATTATTATCGCTCGTCACGATGATGAAATCGAAACTAAAATCTAACATCGCGTTCACGAGTTATTTATGTCAAAAATTTAAATTTTTTTATTCAGGACACCCAGCATACAATATTTTCAATCGATAGGAAACTCGATTCTAAAAAGAAACTGTCTCATAAACTTTTATCGTGAATTCAGAAATGACTAAGTTATCGACGATTCAAGCATCGAACAACAATAACTTTCAGATTAATATACTTCGACCATTCTCGCTTTGACAAATTTGAAAAACCCTGGATAGCTTAGTCATTTCTGAATTCACGATGAAATATTATGAGACATTTTTTGTTCAGAATCGAATTTCCTATCAATCAAGAATATTGTACACTGGGTGTCCCATTTAACAAAAATACCGAAGACATAACTCGTGAACGGGATGTGCATTTTTTCCGATATCATCATCGTAATCAGCAGAAAAATTGATACTGATTGGTCCTTTCGGGGGATAGGGCTTTGTAGCTTCAATAATAACAAAGTTAGCAATATGACCGAAAACCAAATGCAATTCTGTCTGTGTCTAGCCTTGAGAATTTTTTTCCTGGTGAAATGTTAGTCACAATATTACATTGGGATTTCAGTCAGAGTTTTTTTCTTATTCACTATTTCATGAAAAATAATGTTTTTCATTTCTCTAGATTTCTGGGATTTTCACTCCTCGTCTCTATGAGTGAAAATTAATATTGTTTCAATGACTCGGTTATCAAAGATAATAAGATAATTTTGCCCTAATGGAAACTGAAGAGAAAAATTCGATCGCTGGTCAATGATACCTTGTTTGGATCAATGACTCAAGGAGGAAAATATAGGTGTTTTGAAAAAGTATGAAATTTCTTCGATCGTTTCGGGAATGAATCTGCCCTCTTTTTCATCAGATGAATAAAACATAGTTCTTGACTGATGTTTTTGCTTTCGTCTTCTGACATTCCTCAGTGACAGAAGTTGTCAGGATAAACTGTGAGTTACAAGGTGTTTCTTCTAACTGATCTTGAATTCATCATTTCCATACACAGATTTCAGAAGTGAATACCATGTTCTATCTGGAATCGATAGATCAACTGAACAAAAAGCAAATTCATTATATTCGTTTGGAGGAATCTTCTCTGTCTTTGATATTTTAACATCACAAAAAAAAGTTTTGTTGCATTAACAAAATTATTTTTGTAATTTTTTTCTTTGTTAAACTGAGAAAAACTTGTGGAATAAACAAAATATATATTCATGATACCCTGTGGAGTGTAACAGTTACGTTATCAAGTTGATATATTGAGAATACACTTTATCCTTATCTCTTTTCAACATCCACTCCATTATCTCTCCTATTTCTCCATCAGAAACACAATTTCATAGCACACGATTTAATTGGATTCAATTGGCATCATAAACAGGGAAGTAGCAGACTATGGTCTGGGGAGAACTTGTGATCAGAAATGGAAGCCTTACAGTTGACAGGTACAACAAATCGGTGATTTTAGAAGCACATATTATAGTGTGAGGATTTTTGTTGATGCAAGATAATGCAAGGCGACAAGTCGCTCGAGTTGTGTGAAATTATCTAGAGGAAGTCTGTATCGCTACCATGACACGGCCAGCTCTGGTACATTCTTGTGACAAGATTACAAGAGGAACGTTACTTGAATACTTTGGAAAACGCAGGGCAGAGACTAAAATGGCTACAAGGACTGGTGATTCGACTCTTCAATTGTTTCTAGAGCAAACGTGACGACCGTTTTGGAGTAATAAGAATAGTTCTCTACTCATTTATAGATGGCGTAAAGAACGTGGTCGGTAACAAGGATTCCGTTGTCAACTTTGACATGTTTCAACTCTGATAGGTGTCCACTTTGATAGGTGGCAACTTTAACAGGACGAATATTTTCTTCAGATTCCGATAGTCGTGCGAAAATCTTCCAGATTTTGATTCTATTGTCGTTGACCAGTTATTTTCTCATTTAGTGCTATTTGTTGTGTATTTCATTGTTCGATATATCCAGTGTTCTCCAGTAAATTATTCGTGTTATTATTTGTTGTCTTTTCTTTCCATTTCTCGTTGTTCGATTGTTCGATTTTATAGTGTTAGAGATCCTTTTGATGATGTTCATTGTAGCCATTTCATCATCAGAGACTGACGATTCAAATTTGGGAAGACTTGGATTGACATGACATTAGGTCTCTTATTTTGGGTATAGCCGCTTTGCCAAGAAGTTTTTCGTGTCCGCGGCACTACTGACCCTCTCGTTCAACTTCACATACTGTTTCGTTTTTTCGTTATTAAATTCGGATATTAATTTTCCATTAAATCATGATATACTATGAAATGCTATAAAATGGCGTTTCTCGAGGTGTTCAAAGATGAAAAACCCAAAGTCATCTCCATAACGTTTATTTGTGCAGGTATATGTTTCGTGCTTATAATTATAAGCACAGCCGAATGTAAGATTATTAATACGTTTTAATAGAATCTCGAATCTTATATCCACATATTAATTCATGAAATACTAATGCACTCTCATCAGCAGATTCTATATGATTTTCAATGGTAGATATATTGATATATTATATATTACGCTATCATTTCACTAATACACTTCTTTGATGAATTGCTTCCTTGCTGTAATGCTGTCTGAAGTTTTAAGCCAACGCGGATACCGCGGATGACCATTCAACTTGTTTATTGTATGTTTTGCCAGACCATTATATGTCTCGCCTACTACCCAGCGAGCACAAAAACATCTCAGAGATGTTAAAAGTACGAGATTTCGAGACATTGAACCCCCACTGCGATGTTCTGTTCACACATGAATAGAACTATTATAGAACAGCCAATGTCCGCCGCAGGCGGCAATTATCGAGATGTCCTTGATATGTCACAAAACTACCTTCTCCCTAGTTCTTTTCAAATCCTTTTCATGGACACAACAAAACATTTTCAACGCGTCTTGCGAACATTAAATCGCTGTAAAAAAACCATTTTCGAGGTACTTTTCTGAAGCCTTTTGTCAAAATGAACTTTTGCATTAGGATTCCATTTCCCTTGAATGAAAAAATGCATTGAAAATAGATTGAATATAAAAATATTTTCTTGATATGAAATTACCTTAATCGGTTTCTGAGTAGTGCTTACTACACACAGACATATAATTGGAAATAGGTTTGCCAATTTTTGAAATGTTCTACACAATGCATAATTTTGCAAATGCGGAGAAGCTGTGTATTGATAAATTCGTACTTTTATATATTGATTACACTGAGGCACCGAACAACACATTTTGCATCTGATGGTCATTATTACAAACTAAATAGGTAAGTCTTCTAACACAATAAACTTCACCAAATTCCTTTCTATTCGTTAGCAGCGTGATGTAAGCGTAACACGCTGCAAACGCGAATGCCAATTGCGAACAAAAAGAACAAAATCGAAAACAAATCAGAATTCATGGTATTGTGACGTAAGCATGAGACGTTGTGGTGGGGCAAACAAAGAAAGGGCACAAAAGAACAAAAACAATACTTTCAATATCTTTCTAAGACCTCTTTGGGAAGTGCATATTACGCCTCAAAAAAACATCCTCATACCTACATTTCTAAAACATCCCAAAACATCCCAGGGATACCTCTCAGTAGGCAAA